ATACATTAGTTAACTTCTCTAGTGAGAATATTACACCAAATAAATCTTATACATTAGTTAACTTCTCTAGTGAGAATATTACACCAAATAAATCTTATACATTAGTTAACTTCTCTAGTGAGAATATTACACCAAACAAATCTTATACATTAGTTAACTTCTCTAGTGAGAATATTACACCAAACAAATCTTATACATTAGTTAACTTCTCTAGAGAGAATATTACATCAAACAAATCTTATACATTAGTTAACATCTCTAGTGAGAATATTACACCAAACAAATCTTATACATTAGTTAACTTCTCTAGTGAGAATATTACACCAAACAAATCTTATACATTAGTTAACTTCTCTAGTGAGAATATTACACCAAACAAATCTTATACATTAGTTAACTTCTCTAGTGAGAATATTACACCAAACAAATCTTATACATTAGTTAACATCTCTAGTGAGAATATTACACCAAACAAATCTTATACATTAGTTAACATCTCTAGTGAGACTATTACACCAAACAAATCTTATACATTAGTTAACTTCTCTAGTGAGAATATTAGACCAAACAAATCTTATACATTAGTTTACTTCTCTAGTGAGAATATTACACCAAACAAATCTTATACATTAGTTAACTTCTCTAGTGAGAATATTACACCAAACAAATCTTATACATTAGTTAACATCTCTAGTGAGACTATTACACCAAACAAATCTTATACATTAGTTAACATCTCTAGTGAGACTATTACACCAAACAAATCTTATACATTAGTTAACATCTCTAGTGAGAATATTACACCAAACAAATCTTATACATTAGTTAACATCTCTAGTGAGAATATTACACCAAACAAATCTCATACATTAGTTAACTTCTTTAGTGAGAATATTACACCAAACAAATCTTATACATTAGTTAACATCTCTAGAGAGAATATTACACCAAACAAATCTTATACATTAGTTAACCTCTCTAGTGAGAATATTACACCAAACAAATCTTATACATTAGTTAACTTCTCTAGTGAGAATATTACACCAAACAAATCTTATACATTAGTTAACTTCTCTAATGAGAATATTACACCAAACACATCTTATACATTAGTTAACATCTCTAGTGAGAATATTACACCAAACACATCTTATACATTAGTTAACTTCTCTAGTGAAAATATTACACCAAACAAATCTAATCAGTAGTGGTCCAACTACTTAGGCGAAGTGGCCAGGATGGGGAAGGGGGTGGGTTGTAGTTCTTGCAATTCCACTCAAACTATGCGTTTTATGACGTCACGACTCTCAAAGGTTCTTATATATTAATGACACATTTTGCAATAATGACATCATAAACGCTTACTTTTAGTGGAATTGCAAGAGCCATAATGATGCAGTAAGTGTCTCTGATAATCATAATCTCTTTAATAACAAAACAGTAGCTATATATATTATATGTAAGTCTTGTTTAACGAAATGATTTACAAACAGAGTTAATCAATTAACTAAGTTAAGCATGCCGAATTAAAAAAAAACTTTATCCTTATGGTTTACAAAAACTATGTACACTAAATAGTTACCATTTTACTTCCTACTTGCCTGCTTAAAACTTTATTCTCGACTTAGAGAAAGTAAAATACTGTCAATTTGTAATTAAAAATTAGATACATATATTCACTTGAATCTGAATCCATCTATTTTTTTCACTAAAGAT